TATATATATATATATATTTATATATATAAAGAAAAAAAAGGGGTATAAAAGGGAAACGAAAGAAAGGAAATAAAACGGTGATGAACGCCACGCGCTGCGGCAGAGACGATCATTCGCTCTGGTGCGAGCTGTGAATGAATCTCTATCCGTCAACAGTATTGATATAATTAATAGAATAAATGAATATAAAGAAGAAAAAAAAACGTTTATTGTGTAAGAGGTATATGGTAAGTACGACGTATTGTGCAAACGTATGCGAGGACACGGGAGAGCGTGAGGCATGGTTGAGAGGGATGCGAGAGTTGTGAAAGAAAGAGAGAGAGCGAGCGAGCGAGAGAGAAAGAGAGAAAGAAAGAAAGGGGGGTGATGTGGATGTATATAAAAGGAACCGGAAATCGTCTCAACGATCGAACCGAGGACGTCGAAGCGCGGAGCCCGATCGAACGCCAACGCACAGGCCCCGATTTGCCCGGATTTTGCGTGAGAACCGAGTCTCTTTGTAAAACGTTTCGAATCTTTGTAATTGTTAACGATAACCAACGGTGACCAGGAAGAAAAACAACGGAAGCGTGGAGAAGGAGGAGCGGAAAATGTGTCTCGTCGACGTCGGATGTCGCGCGCGAGGAATTCTGCGAACCGCCACCGAAACGGACGACGCTTCGTCGCGACGACACCCCCGAGCCAGGGAATAACGGATCGAGCGATCGGTTTCGGAACGAGAAAGCCTGCCAAGCGTCTTGTCTATCGCACAGCACAGCGCGTACCCACGTCCGATTCATTGTGTGACCGGCCTTCGTTCATTTTCCTCTCGACTTTTCTTCTTTTCTTTTGGTTTCTTTCTTCCGGAGAACACAACAGCGAACGTTTCGCTATCGGCGCGAGATTCTGGGGAAACTCTTAGTTAACCCTTTGAGGACTAACGTTGCACCGACGAAAGTTGCGAGAAAACCGTTTATTTATACAACATTATACTTCGCTTATAGAAAATGGAACGAATTCTGTCAGATGTGGTTATGTAAATAAGTGTACTTATATCTGTTTAAACAACTATGAACTTATATCGGATATGATTATATGAACAACCGTATCTATAGAAGTTTATAGTTATTTAAAGTTAGAAGATATAACAATTTATTTAAAAACCGATTCTCCTCGGAATGAATTCTGTACATACGGTTATTTAAAGTTACACGACAGTTTATTTTAAAACTCACTGACTCTTTGGCTTCGTGTTCCCAAGAATATTTAAAAGATTTATCGGATTTATAAATATTACAAGAAGATGGTTTCAGCGACGAGCTGCAGAAAATCGATAAACAATTGACTTCTCTTCTACCGTCGAAGCATCGATGTAGAATTTTCCTTTGGTAAACGTTTGGAATACTCGAGAAAACTCTTCGTCCCCAAAGGGTTAGACCCGCATCGCGCGCCGCGGTGATTTAATTTTCGCATTTCGATCGCGACACTCTCGCACGTTTGCGCGCGCACACATGCATACACACGTACACACGACAGAGGCGTATATATTCAGAGGAAACATCCACGCGGCACCGATTATGTACACTATGAATCATTCTAGTATGAAGTTCCTTGCGCGTTACGTTTGTACATGATATATATACATATATATGTATGTTCCTCATTGTATGCTTATACGTTTGTTCCTATTTTTGTATTAATCCTCGTGATTCGTTGTGTTCTCTTCCTTCGCTGTTCAAGCTCTCGAGCCAAGCAGAACGGGGCATTATATATATATATACATATACAATAAAGATTCGAAAGCGTGCTCGTTGTCGCGTTCAGCCGCGTTCTCGCTTGCGCAAACGCGGCGCGGAATACGCTGTCGTGACCAAGTTAAAACAAACAACAGTCGTTCATTTTTAATCGCATACGAACGATATTTATACGCCACAATGTAACCGGGAATTGTTCCAATGAAATAAATTCGTTTCTCGCGTCTGAAATTGCGTACGTGTTGTACACGTTGAACTCGGGAATTATTACTCGATTCGAGCATTCGATCAGTTAAATCGTTAAACCGCCGTTTGTATTCTTAATTCGAGCTATTCTTTCTTACCGTCGACATGTGAAAAAGGGGAACAGTGAGAGCGATCTTTTTTTATTGTGTTCATCGTAATCTGTGTGTCGCGTTGAACCGTACCGAAAACGTTTACTTTTATTAGATTTTAATCGCTGTAGATAGCTACAACTGCCCGAATAATATTAAATCGAATTAAAGCGTCAAGTGGGAACGCGGCTTAAGATTCCCCGCCATCGTCGAGTGTGATCTTCGAGTCGGACCGTCGCGCGTTTCTCTTTTCTTTTCTTTTCTTTTTTTTTTGTTTCTTCTAATTCCCTCCCCGTCCACCGGAAGATCGAATCGCGGCCGCCGGGAAAGATTCGAGGGACAGCGACCCGAGAGTCGTGTCGAGCTGCGGATTTCCGAAAGTTGTGTACAGGACACATCGCACGCGCCATCGCTTTAAGTGAAACCGAATTATGTAAGGAAGGAACATCGCTCTAGTTGTATCGTGACACGTATCACATCACACGTAAACACGTATATATATATATACATATTATATACACGTATGCATATATATATTTATATATGTAGAAATATAAATATATTTATTAGTTTCTCTTAACCTCGACTGGTGTCACCGCGAAGGCACGACGTTGGTACGAGCTCTGCTTGCCGATCCTAATGTTCAATTGGAGAATGACGAAAAGTGAGAGAGAAAGTATGAGAAATGTAGCGCGAGAATGAGAAAAGAGTACCGCAATTCCGAGATGAAAGCTTGACAAAAAGTAACGTTCCGCGTCTCGTTTCGTCGGCCCTTGTTTCCTCTCGACTGGCTTCGAAAAATCGCAATCGAAACGCGAACGATCTCTCGGCCGTAAAATCAATCCTGCCTCGTCCGTTATTCCGCAGCGAAATGTTTCTTGAACGAGGCACGATCGATTTCGAATCGGTTGAACTCCATCCATCGACTTTCATCGTTCACAATAACGAAGTCAGGATGACTCAAGATTGGATGGTCCGCTGATTGATTCGAGCTTCGATTTCACGAGAGTTTCGAACACCAAGTGCCGAATGTGTAATAGTTTTTACTAGCAAAATCCGAGAGCGTGCACGTGGGTCGTGGGCGCCAGCATTTGTAACGATAATACAACGATCGGTTCGTTGATCGAGTGTATAGCGCGGGGAGTGAATATTAGTCGGTTTCGGGAAACGAGAAGTGTGACTCTTGCGGGGGATCGATAAGGTCGGTCGGGAATGACGAGCGTGG